TCGGAGATGCTTTTGGGAAAAAGAGTATAAAAGTATGACAACATATGATAACTGCTTAGCGCACTACTGATGCCATGAAGCACTTATCGCATCTTACTGCCACTTTTGGTGAACTTCAAAAGAGTTCCAGAAGCATCAGAAGCAACTCCCAGAAGATCCAGGCAAGGCTCTAGGTGCTATGGCTTCGTAGACCATGAGCCACTCTACCTGCCACCCGATTCCTCAGAGTTGTGACCCTGTCTTGGTCAGAATCTGACCTCTATCAACAAAAGCAAAACTATCAAAACTCAAGAAAGGGGATCTTCTACAACACTTGGAAAACGTCAACTTCACACAAAGCGTTGGCTCAAATAGAATTTTACCCAGGGTCACATCGACATCACGTCCGATGTAGCACAGGTTTTTGTCCTCCTGGATCCATTGCTTTGGCCTCTCGTAGTGGTAAGACCAACTATGCCAGTCCTGCCAGGCTACACCCAGGGGTGTAGTGGATGCGATCGATGGGCAAATTTGAATCGTTTGGGTCGATAAAGTCGACATGTGGATGGGGCTGCTAGAGCTGCGCCATCCAGATCTATTCAGTAGAAAGTGGAGAACACATGAAAGCACAACTCGCCAGAACTACTTTCGCCATTTGAGTATCCGCCATCAGGATGATGCTAGGGAGGTGGATGCAGTTAATCAGAGTGTCGTGGAGTTGCCCCCCCAAAAAAAAGGACCCTGGGATTTTTGGCTATACGGACTTTACGCTCTAAAAATTTCTAAAATATGACAAGATCACCAGCCCGCACACAAACTGCAGTTGAATATCAATATACCATGTCATACGCGTGGCCCTGAAGAGTGAGAAGGATGCCTGTTTGGTTTCTTCTCTGACCATCTCTGACCTAGGTAGACAACAGATCTGGTCATTGCGACCCCACCTCAAATCAAACTGATTTTAGAATGTCGCAAGCATCTTAAAGCAAGGAGCTTGAATCCCAATCTCTTTCTAAATTTTCTAATCATTTGTCAAATCCAAACAGAATCTGAATCCGAACTTCCCAACCTCCTCAGGCGGATATGGCGCTGAATTCCTGGACTTGTAGCCGCTTCTAGCCGAGCCGCCCGTCCAGTCCTTGGAAGGCAGGACCTGTTTATTGGATTTTCTTGGCACATCTTGGCACATCTTGGCACATCTTAGCACATGTACATAGCTGATTCAAATGGATCGTCCAACATGTGCTTGGAATATACTTGAAATATTAGGCTATACATACTATATATAGAGAAATGCCCAGAATTAGCTGTGGAATGGTCCTGAAGATTTCGAACCTGGTGATGCTGTTTATTTGTGAGGCAGAACTTTCAAAATCATCAACACACCGATGGAAGTGGAAATGCCCTCAGCAAGACAAAGCAAATTCTGACTGCTCAACCTCGAATGCCGTATGATTTGATGCAAATGGTGGGTCTTCACTTGAAAGAGTTTCAACAATTGCTGTGATTTTTGTTTGAAAATGAGCACGACTGTCAGTGACTGACAGGACCTCAAGAACGATACTTGTTGGGTTTGGCATTGCTTCACTGTCATGTTGCTCCATCAGCGATTAGAACTACAATTTCACGAACCAAGAAAACCAAACATCTCATGAACTGGAAATGTCTAAGCAATGCATTCAGAAAGTTCAGAAAGATTGGAAATTGCAGACCTAGCAATGTCTGGCCGGGAGGCAGTCCAATCTACAAACTTGGCACCAGTAGCACAAACAACGCATCAAGATGCATCAAGATGCATCAAGTACGATTATAGCCCATGTCAAGTAGTAGAGTGTGCCCAGCTTACAGACAGTTCCTAATTCTCCATTTTGCACACCCAACAAGGAAAATCATTAGGTTGAAAACTGTTCCAGCTCAAAGATCTGCAGAGCTTCCTTGCATCATGCAATCTATGGGTACTGGCTGCCAGTTGGTTTAGTTTTTCTTGGAACTTAACCCCCTCACCTTCTACATGACATGTCCATGGTTCACACATGTTGCTGCGTAGCATTGCGTAGGTATGTAGTTATTAGAATTGATTAGTTCAATGCTGTACCCACATCCAGTGAATCCAGTCCTTTTAGCCAAGTCAAGACAAACCAAGATTCTCCACCTCTGCCTCAGTTGCCCCGGTGTTACACGTAAGTGGTGGCTCATTTTCCAACGTGGGGAGTTCCTCCTTCCATTCTCATTAAATCTCACAAGGACTCTGATATGACGACCGTAACCGGACATCTTTTTCGTTTGGTCATTGATGCCGGAGTACCCTACAATGTCCTACAAATCGTCCAACATGCCATAAGCTGTCTACAAGACATGAGATTTGTCAGAAGGATGAAACCTTCTATCTTTCAGCTGGGCAATCTGGGAACTTCGCTATGGAGGTGTCAACCAGTTGAAAGATCAGGAAAAATAAAAATTGAAGGCTTTGGTTTGCATCGTGATTGCAGTGGGGAATCAGTTGTCACACTATCACTACTGGTACCATGTCTGGCTTTCTGCCAATTCAAAAGGTAGAGGTTGAACATCACAATGTGAATGTGGAGATGTTGTCCACATCTAATTGTTTAATGATTTAATATGATTTAATGCATCCTCTGAATACTGGAATGAAGTAGCTACAGCCATTTTATGTCAAACGACAGTTGCGGGGCCCGGTCCTGCCTCCAATAGGACCGACAGCATCCCATGCAAGTTCATCCAAAGTCATGTCCTTGGCAACCGGCTCAACCAACTAAATGGTTGTTCAATGTTGTTCACATCGGTTCCCAGAAAGAGATGATGAGCTACTTGTCATGGCCTCGTTCAAAAGGTAAATTCTACAAGTATCCTACCAGTAGTGCATCGCCACATCACCCGTTCCTTGCTGTTGACGGCCTTAGGACGCCTTGCATTTGAAACATTTTGAAACCCTTCAGGACCCTTGCTCTCGTCTTTTTGCACACAGGTCTTTAATATACACCTTGCAAGAAAACATTTTAGTCCGGGGCTAATGGGCAGCAATACCCAACCCCTGGATAGCCTAACTGGGCCTAACTGGATAGCTGTTGAACCTGAGAGAGCGGCCAACTTGTCAAGTGGTACCTGCCGTCTTCGATTCATGGCTGGATGCTGGGTGTCTGTGTCAACTGCAACAATTGGCTTAGGCGGCTGAGGCGGCTAAGGTGTTCCCCTGTTGTCACGCTAGGGCTCCTCAGCCGTTTTCGCTGTTCCTTTCACCCTGAGAGTGCTATGGAAAGAACCCTCAATTACAGCCTTGATACAAACAGTGTTCGCTGACAAAAATCTTTTGAACTTGCAAGCACTGAGGTTTTATGCTGCTGTCAGCTTTCCAAGCTTGAGTTTCAGGAGAGCAACGAATCATGGCAGATGGTCCTTCTTCGTCGCCAATCTTCCTTTCTACTATACTCTAGAGTTTTCGAGTCCAATGCTGTAGCTACTTCCACCCGCACGGCAGGGTCAATCCATGCATATATATATATATACATATTTGTGGAAGCAACAATTAACTAAACGCAATCAGAACTGGTCAAGAGTCAAAACATGTCAAAACTGTTTGCAAGACTTTCGTGGTTACGAAGGAAGAATGGAAGGAAATTCAGAAAGAATGCGATCTGCGTGGTTTCCTCAAAGAGCTGGAACAAAGTGACCAAATCCAAATGTGGAAAATTCTCTCTTTTGGCTACACATCCCTGCGAATTGAATCTCAATGTGAAATGATTTCAAGATATTTAAAGTTTCAAAGCTCACAAAGAGGGCTTCAAGACATGTCTCATGCGTCTCATGCACGATGCATCAACACTTCCCCGGCAGTCCCAATCTGTTGGCAGCTCCAGCAGCTGTCGCAGCTTCTCTTCCGCAGTCACCAACAAGTCCTGGCGTCACTTGATGTCACTTGTACCAAGAGTTCGTGCTTGAAAAGAGAGACATCCACTGGTCCATTATACCATTCCATCGTGTTGGTCAGTCCAAAATTGCCAAAATTGGCCATTTCTTATGAGAAAAAAATATGACAATATGATAAACAATCAAAATTGCGGGTACCCCATTTTCAAACAGACCCATGTACTGTTCATACCGTAACCGCCGTAACCCCGAGACGAAGGTCTCAACCAGGCTACATCTCCTGGCTGCTGGGATGCGCAATGCAAATTGCCTGGAGCGACAGTTTGGACACCATGGCCCGCCTCAACAGATTGCTTCTTACAGTACGAATCTGATTGAAGTTAATTGAATAGAAGCTTGAGGTTTGACAACGCAGGAAATTCACCTAGCTCCGAATTAAAGCATTCCACTCCTGGGGATTCTTTACAGGAAACTCCCATTGGCCTGACTTAGAGGATTGAAATTGAGGCTTCTCTGACAAATGTCATATCGATGATCTTCTGATCTTGAACATGTCCGAGGATTGATCGATAATCTCTTTAATCTCTTTACTGTTTTTGATCCTTTGGTTGTCCCAGTGATTTTTGTCAGGGTCGCGGCGTATCATGGCACCCAGTATCACCCAGTCATCTCACCTCTTCGATCTGCCCGCAGGGGACATTTTCCTGGTTCGAGTTTCCCCGCTTCCCAGACATCAGCTACCCTATGTGGGGATTTGGCGGCTGGCAAGTTTAAATCATGTTCAAGGTATGTGACCGTGTGCCACAATGACCCAACTAAACAAAGTCCCTTGGCTTGTTCAGCAACCGGACAAATCTGGCTGTTCGTGAAAAAAAAAGTAAATGGTCCATAGAAGGGGCCTCCTTGCAGCTCAAGACCCTACTGCTCAATGTGGAAGACTTGGTCTTCAGTGTCAGATCATTTTGCATCCACTAGCCAGTAGTTGTATTTTCTATGTAATATTACATAATTATATGCTACAAGTTTCCTATCATTGTATATATATATACATAAATATATATATAAATATATATATATATGTATATATATACATATATATATACATATGTGTATACATATATATATATATATGTATATTATATTATATATATGTACATATGTGTATACATATGTGTATATATATATACATATATAGATATACATATATATACATATATATACATAAATATATATATATACATAAATATATATATATATACATATATATATATATACATATGTGTATACATATATATATATATACATATATTTATATATACATATGTGTATACATATATATATATATGTACATATGTGTATACATATGTGTATATATATACATATATATATATATATTGTGTGCATTGTTTCATACATGCGTAGCTCCACATGCCCCACATGCATCCACATGCCATGGATCTCTCTACCACATCCCCATGCATTGCCTTTCGACTGAAGGCTGCCAGCACGGTGCCGGGCGGCGCTGCGAAGCAGAACGCTTCACCATCAGCAGGAGGCACCTGCTGCAGCCCCAGCTGTTCAATCACCAAACATCTACAAGGTGCCTGCAGTGCCTGGTATACCTTGAAATCCAAAACTTAAACCCACCGAATTTCCATGAAAAGATCCTGAATGCCAAAATGATTCATATACTGAAGGATATCTGAGGTCACCATTTGGGTTTCGCGGAGTTCGCTGCACAATGGAATGACCGCTACGCTACATCTGTCTGTGCAAATATCATGAACCTTGTTGTTGTTTCTTGCTGGAACAGAACCATGGCATGATTTATCTTTTGTGCCTGGCAGCCATAGTCAGAAATCCGGCCCTTGCTGCTGTGAAAACGCAGACTCCGGAGCGTCCCAAATGTGGCGTAGCCAGTGATTTTGGTGATGAACCTTGGGTCGCAGCACCCATGCGTCTTCCAACTCCCATCCATACGTCCTAGGTCCAAAGCCATATAGGGAAAACTTGCCTGGTAACCTGGTGGATCATTCGGTACATATATATATTTTTTTTTATTTATTTATTTATTTATATTTATACTTATATTATATTTATATTTATATTTATTTATTTATTCATTCAATTTATTTATTCATTTAATTTAATTTATTTATCTATTTATTTATATTTATTTATTTACTTACTTATGTATTTACATATTTATATATTTATTTATTAATTTATATATTTATGTATATATAATTTTATTTATGTATGTATATATTTTTTAATACCTGTTTATGTATCTATGTTTTTCTATTTATTTATCTATTTACGTTTGTATTTTATCCATTTTTCCATTTATTTATTTACTTATGTATTCATTCATGAATTTATTTACTTATTTATCTATGTATTTATTTATTTATGTTATATAATATGTGCTGACTTGTTGGGTGCATCGCCGGGGGTGACGCTCAAGGCTGGAAGAGTAGTATGATCACTGAAGATAAGAATGGCTGCAAACAGTTCGAGATGAGAATGGAATCATCCCCAACAGCTTGCATAAGGCATGACTGACTACCAGGAAACTTACATTCCCAACAGGAGTTTGCAGCGATCACTTGAGGAGCGTCCAAAAACAATCAAATTGATTTCCCTTCAGACTTCCATTGGTTTGCGGCCAAAAAGTCGAGGCAGATTGAGGCAGCTATTTGAGATCCGGCTTTCCGGAGTTTATAGTCTAGATTTTAATCATGCCATCTTGCAGACCAAAAGTCCCTAAGAATCCCTAAGAGGCTTAGCTCCAAGGCATCCTCCAGGCATCCTCCAGGTATATTCAAACATCCCATCCGATCCCCTTCTGAGGGCTCCTGACTCATCCCGCATCAGTTCAAATGGCGGTGCAGCTCGGCCACGGCCAAGCGGATTTCCATCCAAACCTGGAATCTGCGTGAGGCGCGAGGTGGCAGAACTTGGTACTGGATTGTCATGTCTGGGCCTAGCGTTCCGCAAACTAATGCGTGAATAATACATAAAATAACAATATCTGCAATATCATACAATATCGATCGTTCCAACAGTGGCATCACCAACTGTCGTAAGGGTGTAAGTTGATGTAACTTGGCGGTGAAAGTGAGAGTACCAGTAGTACCGCACAAGGCGGTGGCGGAAGTTTCAAAAATAGGAAACCTATAGGAGAGATTGGTTGTTGTGAATCACGGATGGCAGAGCGAAGCCACTGATGGATCGAAAGGTGATTGATGTCTCCTCTCTTTCTCTCTCTTTTTCTCTCTCTCTCTCTGATTATCTACCTACCTACCTACCTACCTACCTGCCTGCCTTCCTGCCTTCCTGCCTTCCTACCTTCCTACCTTCCTACCTTCCTACCTTCCTACCTTCCTACCTTCCTACCTTCCTACCTTCCTACCTTCCTACCTTCCTAC